CAAGACGATGTAGGTGATAGCGAGTAGGCTGCGATGGGAGGGTAGACCCGATGAATCTCATGGGATGGTCAGACATCACCTCAGGTCAAAGCCTGACTATGCTGGCTCGTACTTGCTTCAGAGGATGCCCACTGCTAAGACAGAAGAATAAGCGCCCTGCTATGGTGCACTTCTTTTCATGACACTATTCGCATGGGCTACAGTACCACCCCCGGAACGAATTGATTGCGGAAGGCTACGGTGGGATATTAGATCAAAAACTGCCACACCGTATCAACCATCAATTGTACACCTGATTTTATCGTCGCAGCCTCGATCAAACAGCTGCCGTTGCCGCGCAAATGATTTCCATAGAAAATAAATCAATATCCCGTGATCTTGCGATATCAGGCTTTGCAATCACAATATTTAGACTCGTTTTAACTAGGTGCGGCGCGGTTGTGGCTTTTCGTTAATACTCTATGTTACAGCGGCCCTCGGACCCTTCTTTTTAGTAGCTTTGTCGGGTGCCCTGACGGGTGCCATGTTAGGTGCCTCATCAGGTGCCTTGTTCTTGGTTATTAATCATATTAATAAGAAGCCTAGTATCGCGCGATCATGGCAGGATAATTCATTTTCTATAGAAATCAATTGCGCGGCGACGGCCGCTATTTGATTGAGGCTGCGACAACGAAAGTGCGCGGGCAATTAATTGATGGTTGATACGGTGGGGCAGTTGTTGATCTAATAGCCCACCGTAGAATGCCGTCAATGGCTTGTGCACGCCCCTCCACGGCAAGCGTTCTCCATCGCCCGGTGCCCACGCAACAGGGGTGTTGGCGAGCCAAGTCCGTCAACGACCCGCTATCGACGGCCATTTCTTGCCGTCGTCGATCACCTGTTTGCTTAGCATAATCTCCACTAACCCGTGCAGCACTACGGCGTGGACCCATACCAATGGTCCCGCACGAGCGAACACCCCTCATCCGCATACCACTTGTGGATGAGGAACGCGCACCCCTTGTTCCACACCCATGAGTTGACTAGCGGTATCCATAACTGGAGAGTCATGTGGAAGCACTATTAGGTGTGGTACCCAGCAGATCTTTGGTACCAATTCAGGACATCCCAAGGTCCGGCCTGGTGGGCCCAAGACTGCAGAGGCACCTCCGTAGTAGGCTGCGAACCTTGGTCACTTGTGGACTCGCGATGCACGAAAGAGAGTTGCCATTAGTGACGGCATCGCCAGGAGTGGGCCACGTCACAGACAAGCTGGGAGAGACCACGGCAGCTACAGGAGCAGCCTTTGGACTGGTATACCCAGGCAAGCGCCTACAGTGATGGCGGAGCCACCTCACCCTCTCGTCTTAGTCTTCTGCGGTGGCTGCCACACAGCAACGACTCTTCAGGCAAAGTGCCCCAACAGTGGCGGACCTATCACACCTCCCAGCTCTAACCCTTTACCGTGGCTGCCACACGACAAGGACTACTCACGCAGGTACCCTCAGCATCAGCGGGGCCATCACACCCTCTCGATTCTAGTCGTCTTTCATAATCCAGGGTGGCTGCAGCTGCCCAGGGGACAGTCCCACGGCTGTCCTGGCCAAAGTCGCAGTGAGCTTGGCAAGGTCGGCCGCCAAGCCATGGGCTGGCTGAGCCATCACGCTCTCGGACCGTGGCTGCCACACGGCAAGGTCGCCGGTCATGTGTAACATGGCCCGAGGGAGAGCCCTCATGCAACTGGCAACTGCAAAAGCAGGGGCAGCGATGGCGGATCCAAGCCTCATCTTGATATCCTGCGAGATCCCCTGTTAAAAGACCGGGCATCGACCCAGAAATGACTACCCTATTCTTATTCATTCTCCGACGTGTATGCGTACTCACCCCAACCGAAGGCTACACCACAGTCTATGGTATTGACAGCAACTGTTCAAAGCCTGCGTAGTCGCCCACAGTATATACATCGCACCACGATATGTAGCTGAGTATCTCTGCCAGCGGCAGAAACCACAAGCAGCGCCAACAGCGGCTAACAAAGCCACCGATGGAAACAAATGGCACACAACGACCAGGATGAGCCAAGGTGCCCATGAGACAGCCCTTCCCCTGGTCTGGCTTTCCAAAACATGACTTTGACCTTGAAGTGGCCTTTTGGCAATCACAAGGGTTCTTAGTCTTCCTCGCTACTGCTTCGAATGTAACTGGTGTTGAAGATTGCTCATGAGATATACGCATATTTGGTTCGACCAAAACGAGTGACCGAAATTCGCAGACAGACCCCAGTAAGCAAAAACTGGGTATCGAAAGAGGAGAACAAAGTATCACTCGCCGAGATACGCCAGGTCCGCCCAGACCCACCAGTGCAGAATCCCGACGTGTGCCAACCTCACGGCCAGATCACTGACGCCACTGTCCATACCGTCTCGCAGGCATTCATAAAAGTCGCGGGGCATATTGCCGCTGGTGGGTATCCTTTTCTCTACGGCGGCTGTGTACAGGCTCCAGCTGCTCATCCCCTTGTATTCCCGAACGCGGTTGCAGAGGTCCATTAAAAGACGCCGGTGATAGTCGGCTTCCACTTCCAGGAAGAGTTCGTCGTGGGGGTTAGAAAGGACTTCGCCAAGCGCGGACTCGACCATGGCGAGCATATAGGCTGGGGCTTTAGCATGGCGGAAGATCTCAACGGCCATGTGCGGGACAGCCTCCGCCCAGCGCTTGGCTTGATCGACATTGGTGGACGTCGACTGGAGGATGGCGACCAAGGATAAGTACAAGTTGTTTGTCTCCATCTCGCTTTGGCGCTCGCCGAGAATGCGTAGGACGTGTTCGTAGATACGCATGCAGATGACAATGTTCACGGCATCGAGAACGTCATTGCGAATGCGTAGCAGCCTGTCCTTGTCGTAGTGGAAGGTCTCGGGCGGAATCGCATCGTCTTTCTGTACGCGAGAAGGTCGCACGAGGCGCGCAATGGCACGGAAAAAGATGGACATGTCGCCAAAGCCTTCAGTGCACTCATGGGCGTACTTGAGCTGTGCGCGATGATACCATAACTTTGACCGTCCAATGTCCAGCCTGCATGTTGCAATCTCCTCGCTGACTCTGCGCTGCTCGTAATGAACCGTCTCCGTGATGAGAGCAGGCCGCATCCAGCGAAGATAGTGGTTGGCCAAGTCCAGTTTCATATGCTCAAGCACACTCAAAAGCTTGCACATACCCATTACCAGTTGTTCCACGTTGCCTTCGCGACTTCCAATGCGGAAACGTGCCAACATGTTGTTAACCTCCCCGTCACGCATGGGGGCACAATGCGTCTT